GTCATAAGTCCCTCAATTAATAGTCATCTGGATCATATTCAGTATCCTTTTAGTTCAGGATCAGCATCTGTTAAGCCAGGTGCCCCTTGGTGTACATGGGAGATAGGTCCAGGATACTCTTCCCCAATCTCCTACAGATACCAAAATATCGAAATGCTCAAATCCATTTTTGAAAAATAGTGTAGCATTTGCATATTACTTGTGCACATTCTCCCATGTTCTTTAAATCACCTCTGGACTATTTATGAAACCTAATAGGATGTAAATGCTGTGTAGATAGTTACACAGCATTGTTTAGGCAATAATAAGGAACAAAGTCTGCACATGTTAGTACAAACGCAGTGTTTTTTGGACGGAAGGGATATTTTGATCCACAGTTAATTGAATCCATGGGTGCTGAACCTGTGGGTGCAGAGGGCCATCTGTGGTGGTTTGTTCAGGAGGCAGATAAAGCTCCCTTACCCTGTTCCTCAGCAAACAGTCGCCAAGGAGAGCTCCCACTGTATCTGCTGTTGCTGGATGAGAGGTGTCTGGAGCTCTCCGAGTTTGTTTCCTTAGGCTACTAGGTGCCTTTTTAATCTTTAAGAAAACTTGAAAGAATTCAAATGTATTCCTTTCATACTTTTTCATTATGCTTTCAGTTAGTGTCTCTGGTAATTTTTTATTTTATTTTAGAGATTGGGAAATTCAGGGGAAATCATGATAAAAGTAAAGTTTTCTGATAATATCACCTCTTAAATTAATAGTATTTTTTTTATTTAAAAAAAATCTTTTTTTTTGACAGGCAGAGTGGACAGTGAGAGAGAGACAGTGAGAAAGGTCTTCCTTTTTGCCGTTGGTTCACCCTCCAATGGCCGCCGCGGCCAGCACGCTGCGGCCAGTGCATCACGCTGATCCGAAGCCAATAGCCAGGTGCTTCTCCTGGTCTCCCATGGGGTGCAGGGCCCAAGTACTTGGGCCATCCTCCACTGCACTCCCTGGCCATAGCAGAGAGCTGGCCTGGAAGAGGGGTAACCGGGACAGAATCCGGCGCCCCGACCGGGACTAGAACCCGGTGTGCCGGCACCGCAAGGCGGAGGATTAGCCTAGTGAGCCACGGCGCCGGCAAATTAATAGTATTTTAATATGTTTATTTTAAGTATTTCCTTATGATTAGGTGTTCTTATATTGAAAGTGATCTTAATGGTTAAGTAAAAATCTTATGAACCAGAAGTTATCTTAAGCATTCCCTTTATTGTTGGACAGTTATTTCCTATTTCCCAAATTCTAATGCTAATTTCTTCCCTTGGTTAAAGTCTTATGTATTTATTTTGAATTTAGGAGTATGTGATGGACATTTTCCCATGAATATTACAAAGGATTTATAAAAAATTACTCCAATTTAAATATGTAAGTTATTTTGTTTTGATGGATTCCAGAAAGTGGAATTATTGGGTCGTAGGATATGGCAAATTGAAAGTGCTTGCTATCTGGTCTGAAATTGCTTTCCAGAATCTACACCATCACAATCAATTTGTTTAATGTTAAAAAGAAGACCTGCAGGAATTATATTTTGGAAGGAAAATGTAAAGCCATACTTTAAATTTATTTATTCAGCTTTGATTTCATATTTGTTATAGTCCAACAATGAAGATTGAATCATTTTACTTTATTTAAGGATGTTTTGCATTCCTTGGTTTCCAGATTCTACATTTTTTCTCTCTTTAAATGTGTTCTCAGTTGTATAGAATCTCCTGCTAACACTGTATTTTTCTTCTTCGTGCATGACTTGTGGTTTTGTCACTGTCAGTCATTTTCTCCAGATGTTCCTTTTCTTAGTATCTCATTTATTTCATGCATGACTGTGGTGTTCATCCTTGCCCATTGTCTCTACTTCTGTGTGATTTATCTATTTTTAGTTCCACACCTTTGAATGATAATATTATTACTTTCAGGATCAGTAAGATATACATGTATCTGTGATTTTTATGTGTCTGTTGACTTCTCAACATTGCGTCAATTTTGAGCAAGCCTTCATGAATGTTTCACATTAAAGCTTGTTTAATTGTATCCATATGTCCTCAAAATTGTGTATTATTGTCACTAGATTTCTTTTGTATATATATTTACTCACAGTGTACTAGATTTCTCCAATATTTATGACAGTTGTTTTCAGTTCCCATTAAAATTGATTTATTCTAATATGGTTGAACATTTGGGATATAAACTTTAAAGCATTCTATAGTTAATATAGTTGATGTCAGATTACATATCTGGATTTAATTGTTATTCATTGACTCTGATAATGGTATTATATAAGGCTTCATTTTTAAGGGCTTTTGAGCATTTTGTTATTGTTGGCTATTAATCATAGATTTTATAGTAATCCTGCAATTAAATTTAATACATATTTCAATATTTTCCCTTATATAAAATGCTTTTAGCATACTTTCTAATCTTTTAACTATCCGTTGGGAAATACTACCCATACCTTTCATTTTTTTAAAAGATTTATTTGTTTATTTGAAAGCAGAAGTATGGAGAGAGAGAAGGAGAGTCAGAGAGAGAGAAAGAGAGATCTTCCATCCACTGGTTCACTCCCCATGGCCACAATGGCCGGGGCTGAGCGAGGCAGAAACCAGAAGCCAGGAGCTTCATCCAGGTCTCCCACGTGGTTGGCAAGGGCACAAGCACTTGGGCCATCTTCTGCTGATTTTCCTTGGCCGTTAGAAAGGAGTTAGATCAGAGGTGGAGCAGCCGAAACATGAACCAGTGCCCATGTGGGATGGCAGCACTGCAGGTGGCAGCTTTACCCACAATGCCGCCCTCTTGTTAAGTTTTAATTATGAGGTCATTTCTCCATTTTCCCCCTTTACTGTAAACTTCACTCTTTTCCTTTCTCATTCACCTATTCTCCATCTTCAAGAGTCTGTGACCCTGGGATGAATGACTAACAAATGGCCTTTGCCTGCGAGGGGTTTCCAGTCGCTGCAGAGGATGTAGCATTACACGTGGTGATTGTCATTTGGGGGTCCCTGGGGGAAAAGGTGGTTCTCAGAGGAGCAGAGGAGAGAACACAGGCACAGACTGTGTAAGGGAAGGCTGTGAGGCTTGCCCAGCTGGTAAAGCTTAGGTTGTATTTCAGAGATGAGGGAGGATACCACTGATGGGGGAGCCTGTGCCGGGGTGTACATGGCCGGAGTCTAGACTGCTCAGTGCAGCTGTCTGCAGGAAAGTCACTTGAGGAGGATGCTTTACTGGCTGGTGTGTGGAAGTCAAGGTTGAAGGAGAAACATGAGTAAAGAAGGGTGCTTCAGTACTCAACTGTTGATTCACCAAAGTCATATCATGTGCCTGCCATGGGCCAGGTGCTGTGCCAGGAGCTGTGGACACAGCAGTAGGAAAAAACATCATCACCCTGGCTCCTCTGGAGCTCGCATTCCAGTGCTTGGGGATGGTAGCAATGGCTGCAGAAATAATGCCTACTTCCCTGTGCTTAGTCTCCAAAGAGTCTAGCTTTCAGGGACTGTGGCCAGTGTATAGATAAATGTTTGATGTCCTCTTAGATTCTCATGTCCTTAAGAAATATCCCCTGTTCTTACAGTTCAGCCTGCTTTCTCCATTGATATCTCCACAGATTTGGAGATTAATTTGTTAAGGTTATTTGATAGTTTTATTTTTGTTAATTTTATTAATATAAAGAAAACAGATTTTGTGTATTTCATAGGTACAGTTCTAAGAAGATAACTTTATTTCCCTCCTTCCCCATCCCTCCCTTACTCCTCTCCTTCCTTCCTTTTTACTTGTTTTTTTTTTTTAATTTTTTAAAAAACAGAATTTCAATCCAGTCTATAATCACAGACTTAAAGTATCACTAAACATAATGTTCAACAAGTAAAAAATATGAAGATCACAGTTCTACAGGAGTATAAACAACAGTTAAAAACAACAATCAAGTAACAAGATGTCCATTGTGTTCCTATGCATTTTTTGTATTCTGTATATTAAGTTCCATATCAGAGAAAACACATGATATTTTTCTTTTTGGGGACTGGCTTGTTTCAATAAGCATAATAGTTTCTAGTTGCATCCATTTTTTTTTTTTGCAAAGGACAGGATTTTATTCTTTTTTATGGTTAGTGACATTCCATAGGGTATGTAGACCACATTTTCTTTATCCAGTCATCAGTTGATGGAAATCTGGGTTGTATCTTAGCTATTGTGAATTGAGCTGCAATAAACATGAGGGTACAGATAACTTATTAATATGCAGGTTTCATTTCATTTGGGTAAATTCCCAGGAGTAGGATGGCTGAGTCATATGATAGATCTATTTTTGGATTTCTGAGGAATCACCATACAGTCTTCCATAATGGTTGTACTAGTTTATACTCCCACAACAGGGTATTAGGGTAACTTTTTCTCTACATCCTCACCAGCATTTAGTATTTTTTTTATTTTTGGATGATAGATATTCTAACTGGGGTGAGGTGAAACCTCATTATAGTTTTGCTTTGCATTTCCCTGAAGGCTAGTGATCCTGAGCATTTTTTCATGTGTCTGTTGGACATTTGTATTTTATCCTTTGAAAAATGCCTGTTCATGTCCTTTTCCCATTTCTTAAGTATACGGTTGCTAAATTTCTTGAGCTCTTAATAGATCCTGGATATTAATTTTTTATGTGGTGATTTGGCCCATGGATGCAGCTATGAGATTCTGGCTTCTACCTTGGTAAATTCCAGTTTGAGGGTTGACATGTTGGAAGCAGCACTTTGAGGTGACCAGATATAGGAGGTGACCTGTGGAGCTATGCAGAGCCAGCCCATGATTTGGTAATGACTTGGAATCAGTTCATGTCTTCCCAAGAATGATCTCCAAGGAAGACAAAGGCTCTAGCCTGATTCAGATTAAGGGGCAGAAGCAGGAGGAGCTTCTATGGGAAGTCTTCCCCTTGTGTATTGTGTTCATGGCCTTGAAAAATCCATAGCTTACGTGTAATCTTTTTCTCTGTCTCTCATCAGGAATCTCACATTGTTTCTGCAGAACTTGAAGAAAAATGTGAAGCCATAGGCAAGAAGTTACTGTACTTAGAAGATCAACTTCACACTGCCATCTACAGTCATGATGAGGATCTCATTCATATCCTTTTCATCTTATAGAAGCACCTGCAAGGTTATTTTGTAAAAGAAAGATGTTTACAAATCCATGATTTTTCCATGACTCAGCAGATGGAAACAAATAGATGCTGCTGTTACTTATAGTACAACCCAACTTGAATATACAGTGCTTTCCCTCTGGTTGTTGGGGGAGCAATTCAATATGTCTTATTATTAAACCTGACCACTAAAAATTAGCTACAAAGTTCATATATACATACAATAATACCTAAGCACAATGCAGTTTTCAGTAGGTATAACAAAGCATGTGGCTGGTTTAATTTTCTAGGGTCTTTATCTATACCAGGCAACCCAAATCCAACTTTGAATCACTTTATCATTCAGTACTGCCATGTAAGGACCAGTGGAATATCAAAACTAACAGCACCTTGATCATTGTTTTCCATCTCTAACCATGTACACAAGAGTTGGGTTCAATCTACTCCTTTCTGATTCCTAATGATAGGATTTTCTTAGCAGAAAACATCCGCAAATGCTTACATCAAAACTCACTGCCAGTGTGCAAGATGGCCTGAGAATATACTGGCTTAGGAAGGCATCCATACAAAGCTCGTCATCCTGTTTTGATCTGTGCCTGCAGTTTTTGAGGGTAGATGGGCAGGTACACAGAAGGTTGAAGGGATTTGCAACACCATCTGGATATTTTCAGTTGCTCAATCAAAAATTGACTTTTTTCTGGGGGAAAAAAACCACCTCTTTCCTGTTCATTCATTCTTTGTATTTGGTAGCATGATTTTTACTGAACATGTTAGTAGGAAAGGTAACTATTTTGGACTTTGCTTTCATTGCTGTCTTAATTTAGAATTCCAGTTCTTACACTCGTGTGTGTGTGTGTGTGTGTGTGTGTGTGTAAGTACCTTGAAATGGAGAAGGATTAATAATCTTGGTCACAAGTATTCAGGAACATAGTTTAATGATGTATTCTAAACTGTAATTCCTTCCTTGTTGTAACTCTAAATCTTTGACCTTGCTTATTAAACTTAGCAGGTCTCTTCCTCTCTTTTGCTGTAACTGTGCCTTTCAAGGCAATAAAATAAATCTTTAAATAAATAAATAGGACCAGTGTCGTGGCACAGTGGGTTAAGCCACTGCCTGCAATGCCAGAATCCCATATGAGTACCACTTTGAGTCCCAGCTGCTCTGCTTCTGATCCAGCTCCATGCAGGTGCACATGGGAAGGCAGCAGAAGACGTCCCAAGTCCTTGGGCCCGGGCCACACATGTGGAAGATCATTATTGAGTTCCCCTCTCTATCTCTTTCCCTCCCTCCCTCCCTCCTTCTCCCCCCTTTCTCCTTCCCTCCCTCCCTCCCTCTCCCCATTTCTATAATTGCCTTTCAAGTAAATAAAATAAATATTTTAAAAAGAATTTTTAAAATAAGCTTAGCAGAATATTTCCCCAAATTAATCATCAATTATTTTTCACATTGCTCAGGGTAGAAAATTTTAAAAGCAACCATTCTTTTCTTCATAAGTTCTGGCCTCTTATGAAACTACTGTGTAAACTGTTAATAGAAAATTTCCCCTAAGAAGCAATAGAAGAAATGTGGCACTTTTGTCAATTCTGTATCCTGGGGGTCACACATATTTGGGTACTTCTCAAGGGGCCTGGCATCCAGCAAGTGACCATCCTTAGCTGGGCACATGACAGCAACCCACTATAAAGAGCCAAAGCTTGTGAAAGAGTTCCCAGTCTGCAGCCCCCCAAGTGGGATGGGTTCTGAGTATGATGTGCTTCAGGCCTCTGTGGGACCAGGTAGCTGTTTGGGAGCTGCAGTCTGGCTCTGTGTTGGTTTCTTGTTTTGACATTTCCTAGCTTGGTGTCATTCTAGGGAATTGGGTCTTCCTCACTAGGACTGGGGAGACAGTAGAGGAGACTGAGAAGGAGCCCAGCAGTGTTAAAAAAGATCCATTTAAGTTTTCCACAGTCAATTCAAACCAGATCCAGAAGCAGCAGCAGCGTAAACAAATGATAAACCCTGTTCAACATCATGATCTCATGTGTAACATTGAGATCACGACACATACCTTTCAGGTTTTTATGGGGATTAAACAAGACTGAATTCACAATGTAGGTTTAACATAGTCCTTACCTATTGTAAGTGCTTGGTTTTAGATAGAAAACTATGTTGTCCAAGTCCATTTGTCTTATAGTTCTTAGCATCTTTGTCACAGCTGAAACAATGTCCCATTTTTACCTAAAAGATTTCAAGGAGGCTGACTCAACTGTTTTGTAATAGAATCAATGAGTTACCACCAGTGGCTTATATTAAAAGTCATTTCATTACAATAAACTATTGTAAATAGATAGGAATTACTATTCTTACTTGACAGTTGATAAAACTAAACCTTAGAAATTACTTGGCTGGTCCATCGTCATTTCTAACAAGAGCAAGACCATCCAGCTGCAAGCCCTATGCATGGCACTATTTGGCCCATCCAGAGGCAGATGTTCCTGTAAGTTAATGGACAGGTCTCTTCCATGGAATATATATATACAGTTACTTAAAATTTTTGAACTGTGATAGAAGTATTTTGTTGAAGATATGTTTTCTGTGAATTCTGCTGGTCCTCGCTGAGGTGGAGAAATACCAAATTGGCATTAGGAAGCACTGGTTTAGGTACTGAAGTCAGTCTCTCCCTCTATAGAAACAAAATCCACCCCATAATATAGAATTCCACACCGACTTTTCTCTGTAGCCCAGGCTTGCTGTGTCACTGATTCAGAGTCAATACATAGAAGGTATCTTTGAACTCATACAAAGGGGCACTTCGATTTAAGTGGAACACTGTGCCCTAAGATGGATGTATTTACAAGGCTCTGTGGAGCCTGCCCTACACAAACAAAAGCTGTTGTTCCAAATTAGAACTAATCTAGAGATTCACAGAGGAATCCTACAGCCAAACACTGACTGGTTTGTATTTTCATTTTTGATCAAAGACACAATTCTGAGTGCCATTGAAAGAAACAGCTTGCTGCCAACAATACGGAAGGATCGCACAGCGAGTGCAAAATCTGATTTGATTCCATTAGGTGTGCTGCCAGCACCTACTGTGCATATGAGACTGAGTGCATGTCATTAATCTAAGTCCACATTGGAACATGATTAATGGAAGCCCATAGCATACTCCCATGTCTGGAAGATTCGGACCCCGGATACTGTGGATGTTCATTCCTCCTGTGGAAGGCTCTGAGCTTTGCCAGAACTCATGAGAATGTAGCATCAGTAGATGGGTGGGTTAGTGACTGGTAACAAGGTCAACTTTCCAAACTGGTACTTGTGGCGTCCTCACTTCATACTAGAACTACAGGCGTTCTGCTGGGAGTCCCTTATTTTTATGAAGAATATAGTGATTGACAAATCCAAAGAGGGGGGAAAAGCAGGCCACGTCTCTTCATCATGCTGACAGGCTCACTAAATGACATGTTGCATGACCAAACCTGCCAGCTACCATGGCACTGAATGTCGGAGAATTCTGCACCATTAATTGGGAGAACTGGCGGCATGGAGGAGGCTCCCGCCCAGAGTCTGAGAAGAGGACAGGAGGTGCGACTTCGCAGCCAGGCAAGCCAAAATTTCCAGGAGCTAACATTAGTCTGACTCCCTCATGCAATTTCACAGTCATTTTGGGTCCTAATTAGCAACTATACTTTGGAGAAAGTATTTTGATTATAAGTAATGGCTCCTTGGTGTTCAAAAGGCTTCCACTGTAAACCTTCTAAGTTAGGTGGATTTCTTGAGCAAGAATTTTCTCATTTGATTCCCTCCTTCAATTTCTGCAACACACTTGCAAAGGTAAAGAAGCACCCTGGGTTGTACATACTTTTGGCGGGTGTAAAAGCCCTCAGGGCGGCTCAGCCTGGCTCTGAGTCATAGACGAGATGGGGACAGGCTGATTCTATTTGCGGTAGTATTTACATCCATGTCCAGGAAAGCCCTTATGGAATTCTATTCTCTCTGCTTATTTGGAATGCATCATGCCCAACTGATTAGCTTTGGTGGTGCTTGATGGCATGTGAATATTCTTAACTACATCCAGACTCATGCACAAGACCACAGCCCCTTAAACACCCCTGTGTGGTTCAACGTTCACATTTTCAGCTTGAACAAAGGTAACAAGAGTTTGGGGTGGGGGGATTTCCCTGCCTCCTTGGAAATGTTTTTCACTCCTAGAGCTGACCAGCTGGAAGAGAGGCTAGAAGGATGGTGGGCTGCATTCACATATTATATAGATAAGAAAATCAGGGGCCGGCGCCGTGACTCACTTGGTTAATCCTGCGTCGGCATCTCATATGGGCACCAGGTTCTAGTCCCGGTTGCTCCTCTTCCAGTCCAGCTCTGCTGTGGCCCAGGAGAGCAGTGGAGGATGGCCCAGGTGCTTGGGCCCTGCACCCACATGGGAGAACAGGAAGAAGCACCTGGCTCCTGGCTTTGGATTGCCGCAGCACTGGTCGTAGTGGCCATTTGGGGAGTGAACCAACGGAAGGAAGACCTTTCTCTCTGTCTCTCCCTCTCACTGTCTATAACTCTCCCTGTCAAATAAAAAAGAAAAGAAAAGAATATCAACTGCCCAGGAAGCTGCTATTTAAAGCATGGGTGTGCTGGACTGATGCAGGTGTAGTGGCCACAGTGGTTCTCTTTGGTGTGCACCTAGACTTTTTACAGGGAAAAGGAAGATTTAAGCCACAGTGGATGGAGAGCTGGGGCTTTCCAAACAACATGGTCATAGCACACAGTAGGCAACACAAAGAGCTCCCCGGCATAAGCATCCAATCCTTTGAGACAGGTCTTGTGGGGGGCAAGACCTTCTTTTTGCTCATGAATGATTGTGATCCTTGCCTCTGGCTTGTTTGTGAAAATAAATTTCCCATACTATAGCCATGGTGGCTAAAAATAAACAAATGCTGATAAGAAGAAGTAATGTAAATTGAGAAACAGTCTAAAGGATGCACTTTTTTTTTT